GTCCACAGTAAAGCATTCTCCTGCCATGTACAAACACAGAAAGCCGGGGATTTAGCGTTCGATCCGATAATAACAGAAAAAGCAGTTAGCTTCTGAAAGCCTTGCCCGGGGAAAGGTTCATCGTAGCTTACAAGTCACATTCCAAAATTTGTAACTCCACATTTCCGCGCCCCTCCCTCTCCGAGAAACCGACCAAGCTTGCCGTCACTATGGGTGGCAGTCTTGCTATTTGGTTTTATCAAACTTTTGGGAATCTAATTTAAATTTTTCCCTCTAGCGGCGCTCTTTGGGTGCTATCGGGGATGAAAGCGACGGCGACGCCTGCAAAAACATGCCCTCATTTGCGATGCACAAGATGGCCGGAATAGCGCCTTATTGAGCAATACGGGGTGTAAATTGGTGAAAAATGATCCGATTAGCACCAACGTGGGAAGTGTGCTCGTGCCCTCTATCACCAGATTTTTTTACAACTTACTACAATATTATATTTTTTCTATTTTCACAGAGATTATACAAGTAATAACATACAAAAGTGATTGAAAACCTTTTATTCTTTGTTTCTGACGTGAGCCGGACACTTCCTCTTGTCCTGTATCTATCGCGGCTGCCTCTGCGCGGCCCGTCCAGTCCCTCCCCTCCCGGCGACTTGTGTGGTTCTCTCCTCCTCTCGGCCCGCTCGCGGGGCGTCTTTCCTGCCGTGACCCTCTCCCCTTTTGACATTTTCCCATTTTGCGACTCTCTGGGATTTGTTTTGTAAACATTTCTCCCTGCTCCGACCGTACTTCGTTCCGGCTGTTCTCGAAATAGTGGGAGGGGAGGACCGGAATGATTTATGCCCTTATTTTGCTTGCAAAGTGGGCAAACCCTCGAAATATTCATTAGCGACTTGCGTCACAAGCCGGCAGGCTTTGAAAGAGCATCGTCTGACATTTGAGGCTCTCAAAAGAAAGTCAGCACGGTCCAGAGTGATGGGCACGCACAGTAGTATCCCCCGCGCGGGCTGGTAGAAGGAACGCCGACCCTTGCTTCGAAACCGCACTCACAGCTTTGGAAGAAGAACGATTTCACTGGAAATACTGTCTGTACAGGAGCACACTTGTCCGAGGATTACCTCATGGTGCTTGGGTCAGTTTGACGGCCGATCTTGTCCCGTTCCTGACGTATTTATGTTGTCAGAGAGAGACTTCGTTGTGATAAGATGACCAACGCTGTCCTTCGCATCGAGAATTGTTCTTCAGTGTGGAAATAAGGATTTCGCTATTTCTTTGGGAGAGTACTATTGGTAAGTACTTGTTGGTTGTGTTGATTGGTGGCTGTGTCTGTTTTACAAGGATTTGACAAACGCTTTTAGCATCCTCTCGTAAAACGTCGTTTGTGTTCTCGGAGTCTGGCGCGATGTGCCGGGGGCATGACACGGGGCGCATGACAAGCCAGACCGGGCACTCGAGTCAAGAAGTCAGTGAATGGAGACACTGTGGCCCTCTAGAGGGAACACTAACCCGGCTACCGCTAAATACCAACTACATTTGAGATGCTACCATGACGCTCTCAGTCTTTGTGGGTCTGCTATTCCTGTGTGCGCAACAATAGCTATCTGGGCGATCCTTACGCAGCCTTGGGCTATTATTAGAAAGTGCAGAGTTCATGTATTGAATAGCGTTCTCGCCGAGCTCCTGCCGGTGGGGTCCCTCTCTATGGACTCCCTGCAGACGACTGGCCCATTGTGTTTGGGCTTGGCTATGACGTAAAGTTGGGACGTAAGCACAACAAGGACATTTACCGAGCAATGGGCGAGTGTACGTCAGGAGTCTGACGTGTCGGCCGGCTGGGTACGTAGGGGTGCGTGCGACCATGGCGCACAGGTTTGCTGGTCTCGCCCGGCTTAACTATGCCCTGTACCGCTCAAATATTTACTAGACCCAACTGTTTGTCTTCCCAATTACCAACTATCCACGAGAACCGAAGGCTATAGTTTGAACTACGTGTGCTAGTCCTGTAACTATACGGCGAGGCCCGTCATCAGACCCTAATACCCCCAATCAAGCCGCAATTCCGACAAAAGTCTACAAAAGGTGTTCAGCGACTGTAGCCAGTTTATTCTAGATTGTTGCTACTCATAAACTCCAGCGATAACATTATATGACCCCCACTGTCCAGACCGTCGCTTTTTGTAACAAACACGTTGCACTATTGTTCCAACCTTAGCTGAGATACGTAGCTGAGATACTGGTCATACCTTTTGTCATAACTTGCCGCAAAGTCCATTTTAATTTTGATGACGCGAGTTAGCGCAAGAATCTTCCCCTTGTTTTCTCGCTCCTTTGTCTTAAATTTAGTATGATGACAGACTTGGTGAACTGGGGAATACTTATAACATCTGACACTAATGACTGATCTGTTAGGAAATGTCATGGCCAATGAGTGCACGTGGGCAAATTTCTGTCTGATGTTCTTCCACACGTAAGGGGTGGGGCGGTGATTCATACGTATCCAAGACACACCATTGTTCCAAATGTGTTGTATGTTTAATTATAGAAAATCGTAGGTTCTGTGTTTCTTAACGAGAGGCCTGTGGATTAACACAATGCTCGATCAGGATGCATAGCTAACACCCCTTTCCACCAGAGACACCAGCAGACACTCAATAGGTTTCAGAGATTTTGGATTTTTACGCTGTGTACTAGTATGTTCTCATGCCCGTAGCCAGGGGGGGTTCGGGGGGTTCGGAAGAACCCCCCCACAAGGCTTAAAGGTCCACTTTTTGGTCCACTTTTTATGTAAAGGTCCACTTTTTGGTCCACATTTTATGTAAAGGTCCACTTTTTGGTCCACATTTTATGTAAAGGTCCAAGTTTTTTCTTGAAAAGATGGACTGGAATCGTAGAAAAACTGCTCTCTTCGTCATTGAATGAAAATTTATCTCTGATTTTCTCTTGGAAATCCTCTCAAAAATGCACGAAATGCCATTTTAGAAGGTTCGTTTTTCAAAATTTTCCGGGGGAGCATGCCCCCGGACCCCCCTAGGAACCTCGCGCCTTCGGCGCTCGCCTCGCGCCTACGGCGCTCGAGGTCCACTCAAGCAGTGGGACGAACCCCCCCATTCAAAATCCTGGCTACGAGCATGGTTCTGTTGTCCTTTTTACGTTTTCATTGTTCACCTATATGTACCATCCATGTCAAAGGTCATAGAAATCAGATTTTAGTCGCTCAACGGTCGTTTAGTGACTAACTAGTACCACGTCTAAAGTTTTAAGATTTTGCGTTACCAGGATTTGTTTTTATTTTGCTCAACGCGTCGTCTAGCGGGAGGACATTACACTGCAAACTTATGAACCAAATTGTTTCACGCTTTGTCGACAAAGTTAGAAAATATCGTTGCATTCAGGTCACAATTGCAATGCCTTGTTCCCTGGGAACTTAGTAAAACAGTTTGCCTAAAAGCCAATCTTGGTTTCCCAACATCGCGTTTGTGTGGTCATGCAGTCCTCGTTAAGGCAGCTGGAGGTACGTGACGTCAGTAGATCAATCAAATGTCATTTCAAACATTTACTTTGTGCATTCTTGCTCTAGGGCGACGTTTCGCTATGTAAGCTAGTTAAAATGTTTTCAGTGGTCCCTCCGCAAACGAGAGGCCACGTAGAAAAATGATGGTGGGTGGGAAAAGCTTATCATACCACTGCGACGTCTCTCCTTTTTGCCGTGTCTCTTTCCGTGCGTCACATCGCAGTCTTTGTGATTACGGTACGGATGAGATTGGCGCCTGACACAAGCGGTATGGTTTGGTCACTTCTCCTGCAGTATTATACAGATTTTGGCGGGGTTATTCAAGCTATAATCGACTAGATACGTCAAGCCTTCAACAACCACCTGTTGACACGACAGTGTTGTTTGCTCTGAGATGTCGTACAAAGACTTTTCCTGGTGCCATTTAGGAGTTGTATGAGAAAATCCCACCATTGTCCAGTCTCCCTCCCCTGCTAGTCCGGGTAGTGTGGCTCCCAAACACTGCTCGTGAGCGTTCCACCAGTGGGATTCAAAATCCCCAATTCACTCGTGTCTGACCTGGCCTGTTCGCCCTTGCAGAATGCAGACGCTTGTCTATCGTAACGGTTGGAAGATGGACATATCTTTAGGAACGGTTGTCTGCAGAATTATAGTTGAAACGTTCTATTAATGAAGGCAAATGAAGGAGTGATTATGCGGCATCTTTTTGTTATAAAGGCTTGCCTAGGAGTGTCTGTAAAGATAAAGGAGGATGACCGCTAGACAGGAACGTCCTTAAGACAGGCCTTTTCTTGTGTCTAAGATTCTGACATCTTCTTAGATTATTGCTGACAATGCGTTCATCATACAAGGTATCACTTTTAGGATGAGCGTGTTAGCGAGAGGTGGTTTCGACTCATGCGAATTTCCTCCTCCTTCGCTGAGTCCATTGTATCCATGGGCGGCAAGGCGCTGTGTGGATATACAGGATCGATCGGACATAATGCCACACAAACACAACCCGTCTGAGATGACATTTCATCGATCTAATGACGTCAGGAACAAATAGAAACAAATAGCCTTTCTGATACTTTGAAATCCTTAACCAGCTTACTTTCAGAAAAGTAAATGATGCAAATCCAGGTCGTCGAATTTATGTTGCAGTTTTAATTGATTGTCGTCTCATGCAGCATCAAGTGAACCTTGCTCTCATCTCTCGTGTTGGTAGGGTAGCGTGTCTGGCCTTCATAGCTCTCAGCTGGAATCTTAATACCTGAGAGTAAATGCCTAATCCTCTCTGGTATACTTATGCCACACCGTGTTAAAAGTGGGCTCTGATAAGCCAGTCGATGTCCTCTTATTACCATTTATAGAAAGTCGATATTACGTCACGACAGGTTGAACCCAGCTGACGGCAGGCGGCATGACGCCCGTGGGTTGGCGGGGCAGCTGTGTACTTGCTGTGTGTTTTGAAACGGCGATCAGCAATTGACGTGTATGTACTCTGACTTTTCCAGACAATCGCTACTACTGGGTGTAAGTACCGCCATCAGAGATGAACGTCTTCAGAATAAGCAGGCTCTCGCCGCCGAGGAGGCCGAACTTCACGACGACAGTGGCGTGCCTGCTGCGCCATGTGTACGCCTTCGTCACCCTGTTCCTGCTGTTCTCCGAGGCCGAGCGCATCCCGGGTGGGAGGGGCAGCACCCACATATCACACGGGACGATCAACAATCAGCCAATCCGCAGCATAGGACAGGTCGCGGTACGTATGATTTACTTCTCCTACTAGTAGAATGTGCATGCAGTGTGGATAGGACATTTACATGTCCATATAACGTAAATTGCTTTCTGCAAAACACAGTCTAAGAAATGTCCAGTCAGCCACGTCGTCCTGACACACGGTGCCTGACAAGCTAGTGTGACGCATGTAAGGTCGGTTATATCGGCGCTTCCCTCCAAATTCCTGTTGGTCAAAAGGAGAAATTGAATTTCACTGTTGGTCCTGAAGCGTATGTCCGAGTGGTCAGGCCAGCGGTGCCTTTAGTTCCGTGTGACGGATCGATAGAGCCAGTGTGTAGTTTACAAAGCTAAAGGGCCGCTGCATACTATCCGATCCAGTGACAAGCACTTTATTTCTTTTCTTTGTTTTGTTGTTTTTAAAAATTAGCGTTAATACCGTCAGGCCATAGATATAGTGACCTGGATTTTGTGCCTTTTTTATGAATCATATTCTACAAATGATAATGACACACCCTGCATTGTTTCCGTCCAGCTAAATCTGATTTTATGCTATTGATGACATCTTTGTTTCTGGTGGTATTCACGTTGCTTCATATCGTGTTTTTTTCACATTGTCATTCTGCAGGTCTTCCTGAGAAAATTAGGCTGGTTCAAACCTGTAGAGAACTGGGAGCCCAAGATTGAGACGTCACGGGATGGTGAACCTATCTTCGTGCCCGAGGACATGGCGCCGGACCCCTTCGCGGACCCCTTCTTGGACCCGTCCATGATGATGGTGGAGGAAGTGGAGGGCATGGGGAGAGACGGCGAGCCGACCGAGGAGGTAGACGACAGCATCAGCCAAGAGGAGCTCGAGGAGGCCATCAGGAAGTTTCAGGCGGAGAACAACCTGACTGTGACCGGCCAGCTCGACGAGGAGACACTGAATAAGATGAACGAGCCGAGATGCGGCAATCCTGATCACACGCTGACCAAAAACCGCACGACCCTGGGCGACCTTCTGAAAGGGGCGGCAAACAGATCTCGTGGGAACACTTCGTCCAACGACACGTCCAATGCGGCGGAAGAAGCGTCGGCCGGCAACGTGCGCCGCCGCCGGACTCTCCTGGACACGTGGAAGGAGCGGCAGCAGCACAGGACTAAGGATAAGCGCGGGTACTTCACCGACGGACACATCACGTGGAGGCTGCTGCAGGAAGGCTACAGCTCGCAGTTAGAGGTGGAAACCCAGTACAAAGTCCTGCATCGGTCCTTACGGATGTGGAGCGAGGTCATCCCGGTCATGTTCAAAGAGGACCTGCACAGCTCGGCCAACGAGGTGGACATCATCATTGCATTTGGCAGGGGTGAGTCCTTTCGTACCAACTTAATCAACACATACGGTATACACCAACGGATACATTGCCCCCCCTTACCTGAACCTAGTCTAGACTAATACGTTATTGCTTTCCTGATGGTACGCTATATCTGCATTCTTGTAAAGAATTTTTCTTTTGAGTGATATATTTTGTATCCAAGATTCAAGGGTCATACTAATATGAATTTTTCTTATTGTTGTCTTCCACAGACCGCTCGTACGGTGGAGCACATAACCGTAAGTACCTTACTTTCACCTACTTAGCAAATAGTACGGCCATAGTGGATATATCAGGATCATCCTACACAAGTAAATCAACCCATGTTCACGTAAAACGATAAAGACAGAAATACG